ATAAGGCTATACCCCACCCCACCAGTGTGCCGCAGAGAGGAACCCTGAAGTGTACTGACACAGACAGACTCACAGACAAGTCACAGTTACCAAATATACCTGCAATGCTTGAGAAGCAGAGCAGAATGAGGCATAAAGTAAGACAGGCCTCTTCCCCATACGAAGAAAAGCTTAAACAGCGTCTGACCTGGAGGTGACAAAGGGTGAGGACGGGAGGGGGGGGGGGACACCACGTTACGTGCAGAGAGAGATCCAATATGAAGTGTCCTTCAGTTCTGTGACAATAAAATCCAATGTGGAGGTTAATGGTGGAACAAGATAGAAAGATCGGGCCTGACCATCTAAGGGCCTGAAGCATGATTCTGGGGAAAATGATTAACGAATAGAACAGGAAGTCTGGGGAGGGCACCAGGGGTTATTGGTAGCTATACAGAGATCTGATAGCTAGCGTAGTGGTTATGAATCGGGCTGCTAACCTCAGGGGTGGCAGTTCGAAACCACCTTCCTATCTTCAGGAAAATCAACTACTATTCCAGAGAGGAGACTGCCAAGTCTACTTTGTCCCTGGTCTCCAGTCCAGAACATTCTGCTTTGAGATTCGAATTCAGCTGACAGTGTCAACGCTGTCTTCTCTGTAGACAGCCTCAGGACGTTTGACAATTGTGCCAATCTCTTGTTTGCTTGTCAAGGAGGTAACTGCTCTAACTAAGCTCCTTCCCATCTCTCCTCTATCAGATTGGACACTAACACTGCTGAGCTCAGATGGATCTTGGTTGAAAGCAGAGAATACCAGAGAGATGTTTACCTGTGTGGATCAGAACAAACTATGGGTAACAGTGGTAAAAATGTGAATTCCTGAGCACTTCATTGTAATCATGCGGAACCTGTTCCTAGACCAAGAGGCTGAGTTAACGGGAATATTAAACCAGGAAATATTCCCAAATATTCAATGCTTGTTCCATGAATAGCAGTCATTCCTCTCGAGTGGAACTGCTTCCGTAATTCCAGATAGAGTTATGTGCACCACCCCACTGCCATCAATGGATTTCAACTCACTGAGATCCTAAAGCACAGAGTAGACGCCACCACCCCCCCACCTTGGGTTTTCAAAGCCCTCATCCTTACAGAAGCAGACTGCTACATCATTCTCCTAAGGAGCAGCTGGTGGATTCGAACCACCGACTGTACCCCTGCACCACCAGAGCCCCCGCTACATGCACAAGCAGAAGCTATTTTGTAAGCTCGCTGCGAAGAGTTGCCTGGTCCACAACGCCCAGCTTCTCATCAGTTTCTTTCCTGTCCTTACACGTGGAAAGCAGTTCCTTCCCCACCAACTTCCTAGCGTTGTTTAGAGCATGACAAAGGAGATACAGGTGCGGGAACATCTGGAAGGCAAAGACCCCTGTACAGGCTCCAAGCAGGAGCTGAGCTCCACTCAACAACAGGAAGCTGCAGTATCTGGAGGTCTTTTGGGCAGTTCAGGAGGCCTAGGCCAAATATCCTAGTACTCCAGAGCACTCCGGGGATCCACGAGCACAGGGGCATGCGTGACAAAGGGAGTGCGCACTTCCTCCAATCACCCATCCTAAATAGGAAACGCAGAGCACACATAGTGAGCAGAGCACACATAGTGAGTTCCTGGGGAGCCCACTTCCTGCTCTGTGTTTATAATCCTGGGCTCCAGCAGCCCAACAATCGGGCCTGACTGCTTCATAGCAGTGGAAGGCAAATGACTCAAGTGATTATTTTAGATAATGATCTATTGCTATAATCATTACTGAAACCCTATACAGGGTTGCTATGGGTCGGAATAGACTTGATGCCACTTAACAACAACAGAAATAACTATGTATTAGGAGCCCTGGTGTGGCGCTGTGGATTAACGTGCTGGATTGCAAAATCTGTTTGAACCGCGTGGTTGGAGGTTCAAATTCACCAGCCACTTCTTGGAAACCCTATACAGGGTTGCTTTGGGTTGGAACTGACATGACAGCACACAACATGTATTAAGTGCTTGTGCTTACCACTATCCCACACCATTTTTCTATGTATGTTCTCATTTCATACTCATAATGAGCACTACATTTAGACTTGGCCAAGCAGCACCCCTGCCTTGACAACCCCCCTCCCTCCCGCCTTCATTAAAACTTTCTACGCCCTCTTCTGGTGTCTCGGATCAACCAGGTCAGTAGTGCCTGGGTAAGGTACCCCCGACTCTTTTACAGGGTTCTCTCCCATGATCTTCTTTGTTCCCCTACCCCTGAGGCTGTGGCCAGGCCTAGGGAACTCCAGGATGCACAGTGGCCTGAGATTCCAGGAGAGCACCCTGGGAAATGGCCCCTCCCTCTGGAGGCTGCTGTGGCTCTTCTCCCAGGATTGAGTAAGATTGGGCTGTTGGCACACTGATTTGAGGTGACGCAAATAGTTCATTTAGTTGTTCCACAAAAAAATATTTGCCCAGGGCCTCAGAGACCCTAGGGGCAGTCTGACAGTATGCGTCCCATAGCCGTATAGAGTAATCACACAAGGTAGGTATTATGCTGCATACTTAGATGGTTGAACTTTGACTTGGAGACACTGACTTCCCAAAATAACATGTTTAGTAAGTCAAAGAGCTGGCTGGCACTCATATTCTGGGATGACTGACCTTAAAGTCACAACACTGAACTAGTCTGTCAGATTTCCTTATCTGCTTCCACTGAGATACAGACATCCCAAAGCAGGCTTACCTTCCCTTCACCTGTTAATTCTCTTGTTCTCTCCTGACTGGGCCTGCTGACAAGCCACTGTCTCTCATTTGTCTGCAATTTACCTGCTCTCCCCCTGACTTCCTGTCTTTCGTACCTAAATTCAGTCAAACCCAGTCCGACTTCCCCTACAGTGCAGAGCAGAAAGAACCAAGGCTGTCATCTTTACAGAAGCAGACTGTCCCACGTTCCTCCAGTGGGGGGGCTGGTGGGTTCCAACAGCTGAGCACTTTACCCACTGTGCCTCCAGGGTGTC